ATGTTTTTATTAGGCTGTGTATAGATTTGTTTTTAAAGTTTTAAAATTTAATTATCTTCAAAAGGACTTCACAGGATGCCCCAATATTTGCATTCAGAGCAAAGGCAGAAGAATTGGGAAGGAGACCAAAAAATGTGTTTGTTTTTTTTAATGGAAAATAAAGCATCTATAGGAATCTCCAGCTGACCTGTGATCTTAAGAGAGCTGGGTGCACCGCTGGCAGTAAGTTTCATCTTCCTTTTTCTTGGGGGTCTCCTGGCTTGGGGGCAGGGTGAAGGCCAAACCCAGGTATCTGGCAGACCTCAGACAGCACCGGGAAGGGGGGCGGTGCCCACCGGCAGAGAACAGCATCGCCCCTCCGTCCTGTGCTCCACCCTGTCCTTCCGAGCCCAGCAAGCCTGGGTGGCTGGAGTGCGAGCACGGAACTGCCCGGGGCCACTCCCTCCTCAGGCCTCTTGCACGGTGACCACATCTGATTAGCTTTTGACTCCCTCCTCCGGCAGTCTGTGGCTCATACTGGGTCCTTATGGAACATTTGCTGAAGGCTTTCTAGTGTGATTGCAGCAGAGTCTATACTGAAAATAATCTGGAATGACAACCGTCTTTTCCAATCTCTATTTAGTAGACTCTCTGTATAATAAACTACACCCTGTTTCCTCCGCACTCAGAGGTCCATTCTGGGTTCCTGTGCGTGGCTTGGGAAGATGCGGAGAGCACCTCGTCCCCTTGCTTGTCAAGCAGCAAGGACCCCCAGCCCACCTTGAGCACGCCACTCCGCCACCCCTCTACTCACCCCGGCCGCGTGAGTTCCGTCGGCACGGCACCAGCACCAGCTCCCGTCCTGTGGGCGCGGCTTCTCCGCTTCACGGTTCCGGCTCCAGCGGGGCGGGCTACGTGCCTGTGCCGGCGCCCGCTCCGGGCCCGGGGCCGGCCAGGCGCCCCGTTCTCGCGGCCCTGGAGACCGGCTCGGGGCGGGCACGAGGCCGAGGCAGCCAGCCGGAGTCCTTCCTTGGGACTTTCCGGTGTGGAGCGGGGCAGCACAGGCTTTGCGTTTAGCGGAGCGAGGCCGAGAGCCGAAGCCAGCTTCCGCCCCGCGAGGCCGCGCGTTCGTCCTCCTGCTTACGCCACGTTGGGTTTCGATCACTTCCAGCTGTAAGAGTCCTGATTTTTTCTATTTTCCAACTTTAATGAAAACACAGAAATTTTAGTTTTGAGAGGGAAAGTTTTGAATTTCAAAACCACACATCGAAATCCACGTGAACGCGGAAGAGCCTGGGGAAATGAACGCAGCCCCCGCACGCCGCGCCCGGCCGCGCGGAAGCTGCCCGTCTCCATCCGCGCCCGCCGGAAAGCCCCGCCGCCCTGCGCTCTCACAGCGTCCCAGTTCGCGGAGGCCGCGAGGCGCCTCCACTGCGAGCTACAAGACGGCAGCGCAGGGGCCTGCGCAGAAAGGGAGCTCGGAAGCTGCCACTGGAGTTTAATGTTTGGGAAAAAATGCTCACAATTCCACAAGGCACCTAGCTCACAAAGAGGCAAAGATGTAAAAGCAGTGATGTCCACTCAATCTTTAGACTGAAATTACGAGGAAAGTTAACACAGTCACCATTTTGGCCACGTATTTTATTGTTCAGAAGTTTACAGCGAGCACCTCCGCCAGGAGACGCCTGGGAGAACCCGCGTCGGAAACAGCCACAGGCAGTGCGGTGTCTGCTCTCCCCGAAAACGCCACACATCACGACAGAAACAGCCGGCCCGGCCTTGAGGTGCGAGGCCACGGACCGACTGGGGTACAGCCCAGCACGAGCTTCCCGGCATCACCCGCGAGCCCATCCATCGGGATGATCGAGAAGCTTCGCAGGTGCAGACTCAAAGGTCGACCCCAGATGACAAACCGCTTTCCCGGCCAGCGCCCCAACAGGAAGGCACCGGCATAGATCTGCAGACAATCGAATCTATCATGATCAGCATTCCTGAAGTTAACCTCCTAAACTAGCGGACCTTATTATTTGTTTATTTTAAAAGCAAACCAAATGTATACAGCATCCTTTAGAAAATCGTGTAAACGTTGCAAATTTTTAGGTGTTATTTATAATATGAAGATATTTAGAAAAAATTATTGGACTTGTTAAGACTATAAATACTAAGGCCCCTCCCCCCATGAAAAAAGCAATTGTTACAAAAATATAAAAAATATACTAGCTTCTACTATTTACTCTTTCCACCAGAAATCTCATGACTCTGGGACCCCTCCTGGTTTATATGCCATACAGCAAGCACGAGTGCAATTTTTTTCCATTTTTAAGGAAGGAAAAGTTTCAAAACGTTCCCTTTTATTTGAGATTGTGGCTACTGTCTTCACAGGGGCTGCAATGTTAGGGAGCAGCGACAGCGTGAGGCTCTGTGTGGCGCTCCTCCGCCCAGACCCAGGGTGGGAGTCGCAGCACAGGGGCTGCTTTCAGACCTCGCTCCACAGTCCTCTGCACATTCCTCTCTCCGGCTCCAATTCCATCTTGGACATGCTGGCCTCCCAGACTCCTGAGCTAGCCTTGGCCTCCCTAACGTTCCCCTGGGGAAGGCAGAGGGTGGGGGCAGGGCTCCCAGGAAAGGGAGGAGGACGAAGCCTGCTGCTGCCTGTAGCACCCGTGTCTGAGAGTGTGGGGGGCCCTCACCCGGGCTTGCTGATGCCTGGGAAGCTGCGCGCCTGGTGGCTGCTGCCCTCCTGGCCTGGAGAGATGACCGGTGCAGGTCAGAGTCTGCAAGCCCGAGAGGAGAGCCTGCTCCTAGCCTGAGGGCAAAACACTTTGCATTACAACACTTCAATCAATTCCGAGTCAGAGCTCACGCACTTCCCCACAGCAGCCGAGCTACCAGGCACTTTTACCAGTTAAGAGCTAGCAAACGGATCAAATTCAGTTTTGAGGCAATTCGAGAAACTGCAGGGGCTTGACTGTTGGGAGGACTCCTCTCCCGGATTAGGACATTTTCAGTCCTTCCTTGTCCCCGCTGCCACCCGCAGCGGACGATGTGCGTAAACTGGGTGAGAGCTGTTGTTGGGGAACCAGTGGGATGGATCCACGCGCCACCAGGCAGAATCCCTCCACACGCCTGGGACATTGCTGGGCTGCACCCTCTGTCCCTGAAGTCCAGGGAGGCCTCTCAGACAGGGGTCCTGGCCTAAGCATGTTTAGAGAACCCTCGTCCCCAAAGCCCTGTGTACGCAGTTCTCACTACCTGCTATGTCGCTCGGAAGTGGAGACCTGGTTCAACCTGCAGCCTGGCTCACACACCCTCCTCCCCTGCAGGACCTCTGACCTGGGCTGTAGCCCCGTGTCTACCGCAACTCAGCCTGGCATCCTGTCCCATCCGTGCCACTGCCCTCTTCGTTCCTGGGACGGGCTGCCTGTCTCCAGGCCGGAAGGGTGGACCCTCACTGAGCCCCCAGTGGACTTCCAGGCTCTCCCACTCCAAGGACTAGATTTTCATACTGCTGAGGGCTTTATTTCACAGATCACGGTGGTGAGTTTTGGGTTTCCAGTCCTCACCATGGTTAAGTCATACATTTCCCAACGCCTGATTGTTTTCTCCAGATCTGTAACATCTCACCCAATACACCCTGGTTGGTTAAAACTCCAAATGAACTTTCCCAAAGCAAAAACAGTAACATATTCAGAGAACCCTGGCCACAGCTGCTGAGCAAGTTCCCAATACTTTGGCTGCATCAAGTAAAACGGGATCTCCGCAACGTCGCGCATTCACACTTGCCCAGAAGAGAAGTGCTCCCAACGTCAAGGCACAAAGCAAGAAGTCCCCTGGGGCAGAACAATGGTGCGCGTGACCAGTGGCCTCTGTGAGGCCCAAGGCAGAGTCACGGGGGAGGCGAGTCCAGCCTGGCCCGAGTGGGCAGCGGGAGAAGACCCGAGGCGTCCTCACGCGTACTTCTCCAAGAACTTCACGTGAAAGTCCTTCACCTTCTGGAGCACCGTCTTCAGCTTCTCCACGGGAGGAAGGATGGTCATCCTGGCGGGAAAGAGGCAGCGTCAGCCTGCTTGCTCTGGAAGGGGAGAGGAGTGACCCCTGCAGCCGGGCGTTCACCTCTGGGAGTGGGGAGCCCCGGGGCGTGGGGAGGGACAGGGCTGTCCTACCCGCTTTGAAAGCCCCTGGGCAGTGCCCAGCATGTGAGAGGCCACTTGCCCCAACTCACACATTCTCCTCTTACCCAAGTAGTAACCCGAACACGAGCAGCGGACCGGGCTGGCGTGGGAGCTCCCGGGACACGCATGCACTGCAGAAGCCGCGCGGCAGCGGCCAGCAGCGGCGCTTTCTCGAGCGCAGCGGGATCTCGTGCCTGCTGGACGGGCCCTTTCCTCCCCACCAGTCAGTGTCCGACAGTCACCCCAAGGAATTCCCCAGTTGCCACGGTAACTGACACTTCCCTCCGGTCCTGCCAGTCGGCTTCCCAGCCCTCCAGGCAGCGACAAGGGTCAAACAGCCACTGGACACAGCCTGTCCATCTGGGGGACGGCTCCCGGTGCTAACGGCTCATGCCGCTTCTTTTCTTAGCGTCTGCCGCCGGAGACATCGGAGAGCAGCATGCGTGCAGAGGACGCTGCTCTGAGCAGAACTGGCCTCAGTGGGAAACCCTCGCGGAGCTGCTCCGGGCGCGGCTCGGGGCGCCGCGTACCCACCGCGGGCGGGCAGAGCCGGCACCCGTGAAGGCAGCGCCCTGGCGTGCTCTGGGGCTCACGGGCAGTGCCGTGGCCCACGGAACTACTGGGCCCTGCGCGGGCCAGCTGCTGCCATCGTGGGGTTTAAAAGGGACAGGGAAATAAAGAAAACCACCACTGGGAATGTTTCAGATAGTGATGTGACAGATGGCGGCGGTGGAGGGGAGAGACACCGTGGCCAGGAAGACCCCTCAGAGGACATGACCCTAGAGCCTGCCCTGCCTTCCCTGACCCCAGGGCAGGATCTGAGCTGGGCTCTGCAGCAGGACGGGTCAGGCTGCAACTCAAGGGAGGACAGTGGCTGCAAATCCTCTGTCCCTGAAGCCAGCCTTGCGCTCCATGTGGAGAAGCCCACGTGTCCCCGGACAAAGCCCGGACAAGCCCGGGTGCACAGAGGAAGTCGTACCTGAAGTGGTAGGTGCCTTCCCTCTGCCCGAAGCCACTGCCAGGCACGACGCAGATGCCAGTCTCCTCCAGGAGCTTCATGCAGTAGAACATGTCCGGGGCCATTTTGTGGGCCTGAGGAGGAAGCAGGGCAGAACTCATGATTCCTCTCCGGCTTTGCGTGGCACAAACACGCCATGAAGAACTCAAAGCCAAATGGAGATCTCAATGGCTGGTTCTCTTTCCCAAGGCAGTGCCCTTCTCTCTCCTGAAGGGGCACCCACCCCAGGACGCCGGACACTGCTGATGCCTGGAGCAGGGAACGAGACACCCAAAGGCTACTGCAGGACAGCGGGGGGGGGGGTCTGCCCTCCGTCGGGCACTGCCAGTCTACTTCCTTCGTACCCCATCCCCAGGCAGCGGCTCAAAAAGCACCAACAGGCGCTTCGTACACAGGCGCCAAGCCACAGAACGCTCTGACAACGGGGCCTGAGGTCTGCGCCCAGGGAGGGGTCTCAGGGAAGAAGCTTCTCTGGGGGAGCTGGCGCCCATGCTTCCCAAGCCGGCCTGCACAACCGCCGCCGGCGGGGGCGAGGGGCTGTTGAATACAGACTCTCGGGCTCCAACAGCGGGATTCTGATGCCATCGCTCTGGGGTACTGGGGTACGGCCTAGACTCGGAGTGTTTAACAAGGCATTCTGGAAGTTCGGGGGTTGGGTGAGGACACCACTTTCAGAAACACTGCTCTGCCCTTGATCCTCAAAGGGGGGCCTGTGGCACCGCCTGAGAACTTGCTGGAAATGCACACTCTTGGGCTCCTTGTGTGCAACATTTAGTGAACCAGAACTGGCATTTTCACAAGACCCCAGGTGTGCACATTCAAGTCTGAGAAGCCGGGCTGCAGGTCGAGGTGGCCGGTGGAGGAGACGGCTCCCGCCGCTTCCCCAGCTTCGCGTCGCACCCGGGCCCTCCCTTCGGAGCAGCAGCTCTCCCCGGGCCCGGCCTCCAGGGTGCCCCATCAGCACAGCTCGCGGCTGGGGCCGGGCCTCTGGGAACCTGTTATCTTCGTGCAGTAAACGCCAGTGGGCTGAGGGGCCCACAAAGTTCAGAGCCTCTAGGGCCAGCCCCCTGCTCCCAGGGCAAGCAGGGCCCCCGCCCCGCATCTCAAGTGCACCCACGTGCCGCAGACCTGAGCCGCCTCCACGGCCTTGGGAGGGATGAAGACTCGAGGAAAGGCGTACATGGACCCCTGCAAGGGGTTGCAGTGGATCCCCGGGACTTGGTTGAACAGGTCTTCCGTCAGCTTTGCTTTCCTGGCCAGATCACCCAGGACCGACTCCTTCTCCTGAAGGGACAGAAAGCACGGGCGTCAGCATTTCTGCAGGAAGAGGGCTCCAGCCTCCACTGGCCACACTGACGAAAGATGAGCCTGTGTGTGCTCCACGACAGGGAGCGGGTGGAACATGGTTCCCTGCAGGAATTTTGTCCGCAGTGCTCAGCCTAAGAGGCTACCACGCGCCCTGGGGTATAGTGCACACAGATACCTGGGGAGTTCTAGACCACAGGGTAGGTCCTCGGTAGCCCGTGTCACGGGTTCTATTCTTGTACCAGGAAATCATTCCTGAAAACGAGAAAAACCAGTCCTTGCCCGTCAGTCTGAAGGGACCTGCCTCTGGATGGAACACCCTAGAATAGGCTGCTGGGGAGACATGGCTCCTTCTGTGGACAGGCCCCACCACTCCATCTGGGGGGACCACCCTTCCCCACTCTCAGTCCGCTGTGCGTGGAACACATGGCCCAGGCAAAGCAAATCAGGGTCAGTGACTGGTTCGGAGCTGGACGTGTGCGCAAAGCCAGAGCTGCAGTGTCCAGGATGGCTGCAGGGGCCGCTGCGGGAGGGGTGACAGGCGAGCCTGCACGTGAGTGGGTGCGCGTGGCATGGTCCACCTGCACCCCGCAGTACGGCCAGCCTTCATGACACAGGCCACATCGTGGATGGACCTGGAGGACGTCATGCTAAGCGAAACAAGCCAATCACAACGACAAACACCACATGAGTCCACTCACACGAATTATCTAGAACAGGTGACTCCACGAGGGCAGAACTCAGAAGGGTGGTTGCCCGGGGCTGGGGGGAAGGGAGCAGGGAGCTAGTGCTTAGTAGGCACGGAGCTTCCATTGGGATGATAGAAAAGTTCTGGAGACGGATGGTGCCGATGGTTGCACAACAGTGTGAATGTCCTTAATGCCACAGAACTGTGCACTTTACCAAGATCAAAACGATAAACTTTGGTTTGTGTATTTTACCACAATTTAAAAAAAAAGATGTGAGCCAAGAGCAGCCAAGAGCTGACTTCTAGGTTACGTGACCCATAATTCCTCTTTTTTTTTCCTTTTTGCTTAAACTCATCAGAGCTGGGTGTTTTGCACTTGCAGCTGAGAAGGTCCCGACCGGCCCGTGTCAAGCTGTGAGGACACCTGGTTGGACAGAGGCTGAGGGTCGATGCTGCGCCCATCCACTCCCCCTTCCTCTTTTGCATTTCATGACAAAGTCCCCCGAATGCTGTCAGGACAAGGCCCTTCCCTCTGGGTGCCTACTGGTCCCCGGGGCTCACAGGTGGGGAAGAGGAAGGGCCCACCCACCCGTACGCATTCACAGTCCGCCCGCTTCAAAACGATGCCCAGTGTCCAAACGATGTCTCAAGTACCCTTGGACTTAACCAACTCATGGGGGGCTCAGGCGCCAGCAGGAACCATAAGTGCCCCTGGAGGCCACGCCCCAGGAGGCTGCCTGGCCACTTGGAGACGAGGCCAGCCATCCGCACGCAGGAATTCACTAGTGCCCCCGGTGGCAGCAGAGACACGGACAGGTCACAGCCAACTCACCCTGCTGAACTGCTCAAAGGACTCCTCTCCTGGCACTGGGGGGTTCACGACAATGTCCATGGCGGCCTGTCCAGACACTGGTGGACACAGACGCACTGAGAGCAGCTTCACCAGCTGGCCCTTGATCTCGGGGTGCAGGTTGATCACCTCCATGTAGCCCCCTCTGTAGCCACACCTGGACGGTTGAAGAGCGGGACAGGATCACCAGTTACAGAAAGACCTCAAGAAACGCACTGTGAACAGTCAGAATGTGCATCTCCCCCCCCCCCCCCCCCCCAAATGGCCAAGTGCGGCCGAGTTCTTGCCAGCGGAAGGTGAACGGAAGTGATACGTAGGGATTCACTTCTTTACAAAGAAAGAGCACACGCTCTCCTCCCCCATCCTTGGAAATGGTGACGCTACAGCCGCACCAGCACTGGTGCTGCACGCCACATGCTGCGAAGGCAGGGCTACCAGCCCCGGTCCTTGCATGACCTCAAGGGGCAGTGCCTGCCCTGGACTTCCCCTACCTTCGGCCTATGTCAGAGAGGTACACTCCCACCTTGGCTGAGCCACTGTACTGTGGGCCTCTTTGTTATAGAAGCTCAGCCTGAGACCCGAGCAACACACTAGCGCCTGCCTGAAAGACGGGCACCGGCCTGGGGCCTGGCATTGCCCCTGCACAGGCTCCAGAGGTGGGGGCGTGATCACTGGTGCCAACGAGCATCAGCGTGAGGACTTCTCCTAGAGCAATTTCCACTGCCTGAAAACAAATCAACCCAAAGGGAGAACAGAGCTGAGAAAGAAAACCAGACAACGCAAGAAAGCAGAGTCAGGCTCCGCTGACATATTTAAGCCCCTGATTCAACTCTACCTCTGGACCTTTTACCAACGTGGATTTTTTTTTTTTTAAATGCCTCTTTGGTGTAAGGCAGTTCAAGTTGAATTTCTGCAATTTATAGCCAAAAGAATCCTGATTGATAATTCACATCATATAAAAATAAGCTGAAAACATGCAATGAATTAAAAATAAAATCTTTTCAATCAAATCAACAACATTAACCACACTTTCTCGTAGCTATGCCTCCTTCTCTGGTCTGTGACTGCAACGTTCAAACTCATGGCCACAGAAAAGTAGGCTTGGCGGGGCAGGGACCTTCCTCTGTGCACCCCGACCCCAACCTCAGAGCACCTGACACCATAACGTGCTGGATAAAGTGCCTCTGGGATCACGCCGAACTGAACCGGCAAAGAAAGATCCCCATCTGATACCCGCACTGCGTGTTCCAAGGCACAAAGATAAATTCTGGCATCTCGGAAAAGTTCCTCATAACAAAAATGGAAAGGAAGAACTTCCTGCTTAACCCCCTGCCGATGAGCAGAGACCCAGTGGAGCAGAACCGCCTGGTCCCCGTAACTGACGTGAGAACAACGGGACGTAGCTCGGGATGCGACAGCCAGGGCCGACTGCCCACAAGTCGCCAGTAGCAGGGATGGATACAACATGCTCAACTCTGAAAAACGAGTTGCTGGAGAACAGATTTGTTTAGGAAAAGAGCTATTCAGCACGCAGAAGTCTAGCAAGGAGCCAGCACTGCACTAGGCAGACCAGGAAGACCAGCATGAATTGCCCCCCGCCACATCCAATACAGCCAAGAACAGTGCGGCAACATCCCAAGGGACAGCTGTCTGGACCCGGCCAAAATACTTCAAGCTCCATGGCCACACTGGTTCAAGCCTGACAAACCAGCATGGCCCGCGCTGCCGCCCAGCGCAGGAGCGTCCGCAGCGCCCGTGGGGACGCCCGTGGCCGCAAGCTCCCTGCTCCTTCCTCCCCGGTCTTCTCCGCTTCTCCCCGCGGCTGCGCAGCAGGCCCAGGCCCGGGCCCTCCCCTCCGCTGGGCCCGCGACACCTCGCGCAGGGGACCGCGCTGCGCCGCCCCCGCCACGCAGCAGATGGCGACACCGCCAGGTGAGACCGCAGCCGCTCGGACCGCCAAGGGCGCCCGTCTCACTCGAGTAACAGTGAAAGTAGCCAAGCGCTGGCGCCCGGCCTCTCCCGACTCCTCTGGCGCCACTTCTGCCGCTGTCACCGCCACTCACTCCTCTCCAGCCCCTGCGGCCCCAGCGCGGCAGGGCCTCCGCCTCGGCCGTCATACCTGCGTCCCCTCCTGCGGGCCTCGCCTGGACGCCAACCCTCGTGAGCGGCACATCTCAGCCCGACCCCACCGCCCGGCGCTCCCCTCTTCTCCAGCTGTGTTCTTGCACCTGACGCTCGCCTTTACCCATCCGTCCACCGCCTCCCTCTCGCCAGAACTCGCCCGACCAGCGCTGGGGCTCCGAGTCTCACACACAGCAAGCCGAACGCGCGGGCCGAGGGGGCCTCCCGCTCCCAGGGCCACTGGTGCCTGAGAGCCCTGGCTTGTCCTCTGGGCCTGCCTTCCCGGGCCCCTCTGGCAGCACTGTCGGAGCCACAGAGACGGGGCTGGCAGAAAACAGCAAGGGTCGAAAGCTGCCTGAGACCCTGTTTTCATTTCCTCAATTCGTCCATGGTCTGGTCTCCCTCGAGCACGGCCTTATTTTATTTGAACCCCTGCACCAGGGCTGTTCTCACACCCCCGGGCTCTCCCCGCGGGAGGTGCAGCCCGTTTCCTCCTGCTTCTAGATGGGCAGAAGCCGCAGATAAGGGTGGCCTTCTCTCCACAAAAATGGGTGGACTTCAAGGCAGGGCAGAGGAGCAGGTGGCGAGAAGACGGCAGCGGATTCGGGCGAGCCCAGAGGCAGCAGGGGCCCGGGGCCAACATACTCGCCCATGTAGCCCTTGGAGGTGGAGTGGAAGGAGGCCAGCTCCACGTTGCTGGAGTACTCGGGCCCCATCTCGTAGAGCACCTTCTTAAAGGAGTGGAATCTGCAGTCTGGAGAGTACACGTTGTCCTGGTATACCTGCGGGAGGACACGACAGTCACACGAGTCCTGCTGAGGGGACACAGCTCCTCCGGGCCTGAGGAGAGGAGGGCACACGTGACCTGCAGTCAGGACAGCCAGCTCAGCCTCCAATGCTGCTTCCTGGGGTGCGCCAGAATGTGCCTGAAGGAACTTTCCAGAATAAGCATGGAGGCAAGGCCGCAGGCTGGAGGAGCTCATTTGGTTTCTCCCACATTTAGCCCTGCCCAATCTCCAGATCTCCTTTCTGCCTCATCTGACCAGTGATGATACCAAGGACTCCCATCTTCCCAAGCAAATCTTCCTCCTAAAGCACAATGCTTATTTCCTTTAGTAATGTTAATAATGACAACGGTTAACGTCCCTTTTCTCCGGCCTCCCTATTCAAAGGGCTAACCTGCTGGGTTTCCTTACAACACTGCCCCAGTCTGCAGTCATCTGGCTTTCCATCCACTCGCCACGGCCGCAGCAGCACCCACACCTGGCCGGTTCTTCCTGGTCCCCGGGGTCTAGCATTCACAGTGGGCAAGCCCCACTCTGCCTTTGAGATTAACTTCCCATACCCATTTTGGAGGATCAGGGAAACTGAGGCGTTCTGGGGCCCTGTGGGTCAGTGGAAGGTTCAGGCCGGCTCCATCTGCCCACGAGCCTGGCATCGTCCTGCTCCTCCTTGCAGACCCAGGGGGAGGTTTGTGCACCACGTCACAGGGAGAAGTATGGGCCTCTCTGCTGCGTCTTCTCTCCTCTAGAAATGAAGATTTTAGGTCCATCTACTATTAATTAAGATGATTTAGTGGGTAAGCTCTGTGAGAGACGAGCAGTGAAGAAACAAAGGCAGTGTGCCAGACTACAGCCAGCCAGAGCTGCGCAGAAAGGAAGAGAAAGTGAAAACAGATTTGGGGGCCCCTGTTTATTTCTTGCAAAGCAGAAAACAAATGAGCAGACCTCAGCTCCAGAACTGGGGCTCCAGAAGCAACAGTTATGGGGTTAATTAGGATCCCTTCCTCATGGGCTGTGAGAATTCAACGAGACAGTAAATGCAGAAGCACCAGGGGACACAACTGCAGGTTGATGAGTGGCAGCACTTGTTTCTGCCATTGGGCACCCACTCTCCCCTCTCGGGTAAGAGCCCCTTGATTTGCCCTCAGGGAATAACCCTCCCCTGGTGCCCATCTGGAGGTTTGGGAGGACAGGGCAGAGACCCCACCCCTTGCCCTGGACCTGTCCAATTTGCATATGATAACTCCTAGGCCATGATGATTGGCTCTGCAATGGATGCGTGGCCCAAGCTGAACCAATGAAGCTCAGTTCTGAGACTTCTGCTGGAGCCACCAGGACAAAAAGCCCTCTTGCCAGGCTGGGAATTTCTAGGCTGGGAAGGTTAACAACAGGTCTGGGTATGAGGCTAACACAGAGGGATGGCAGAAAGAGAGAAGGTCTGGAAGATACGGTTTGAGTCCCTGGATCCAGCTGTATAACCGGGACCCCATCATCTTTTTTTTTTTTTTTTTTTTTTTTAAGTTTTGAGTGATTGAGGTTAAATTTCTGAAATTTATAACTAAGAGTTCAAACCGATGCAGGGATAATTTCGGTCACAGTCTCATAGGTTGTAACACTGAACAGCCACACCACAAATCACTCCTCCACCACCAGTAAAGCTCTCCGGCTGCAGGGCAGTCAGGCCTGGATCTGCCCCTGGAGAGGAAAGCTGATCCCCACCTTGCTGAGGGTGGAGATGGGGCTGCTCTTACCTCATCAGCCAGGAGAAAGAGCTTCTCTTCCCAGGCAAAGTGAATCACATCTTCTATGCACTTTCTGCTTTGTACCTGGCCTATAAAACCCCAAGAAAACAAAAATGTAGCTTGTACTACTGTTTAAATTGTTCTGGGGTCAGAATCCCACCCAGAGTCACTTGGGTGTCCTGTGTTCCCTCAAGACCCCAAGAGATGACCCTCCCTGGTTGCTGTGCCTGATGGTGCAGCCAACCTGCAGGGGCGCCTAGAGGGTCGGCTGCGTTTGTCTGACTCACTTAAGCCAGATATGTGGAGGGAGTAACGTTTCATACCCAACTTTCTTGTTATTTTTACAAGGTGTGTGCATGCGTGTGTGTGTGTGTGCGTGTGCATGTGGTATGTCTGCGCCGCAGGATGGGACGGCATGGAAGTGTCACAAAGAGCAGGAAAATAAAACGAAGTAGCTCAGTCGGCAGCTTGGCTTCCCCCTTGCTACGCACCAGCAGCTGCCGCTGGAGAGTCACGCTGACGTGGTAATCAGGTGAGAGTGAGCCCACCTTCTCCCCAGAGGGGACACACGAGCTCCACAGGGCGGGGGCGAGTCTATCCTGGCTCATCATTTATCCTCAAAGCCAACACTCAGCAGGGGCTCGGCTGATAATTACAGAGTAAACGCTGAGTGAACAAGCCCGGGCACCGGCTTTGGCATGACTGTCGGCTGCCTGGGGAGCTCGGCCTCGCCGAGGACGATGGCAGTGAGCGCTCCGGTTCTCCTCAGTTCAGTCTCTGTCTTCGGGACTTGAGTCAACACTGACGGGAAACACTCACCACCCATTTTAGAGAAATGAGTGCAAACAGCAAGACTGTAACCCGTCAGCTCACAGAAACGCCACAGTACAGGTGGGGAAAGGGGCTGACACGAGGTGGAGATGGGACCCTCCTCGACACTTCTGAGACCTGCTGTGAGCGTGGCACCAGGAGTATCTCGCGTGCTCACAGCGCCGTCTGGAAAAGCACCCCTGTACTCAGGCTTGATGGCTTCTTCAAAAAGGCCACGTTTCTTTACTATACATATATATATGCATATATTATATATGTATGTGTGTGCATGTGTATATATATGAACATATATTATTTGTATATGCACACATATACATCTTAATGCAAAGAGGTATGTAGAATATGATATCTTTTGTTAAAACTAAAAATATCTATATTCTTGTCTATGAAACAATATTAAAAATATGTCTGGAAAAAAATATATACATATATCCTGTAAGAACATGGTATGATTCAGCCAGGATTTCCGCCTTGAACTATCTAAGTAATGAACCAATTCCTTTACTAAGGGACCAACTTTTCTCCTGCCAAGCAAGCACCAAGGGGGCTTCATGCGAACAAGCTCATGGTTCCCGGATTCCCGGATTCCAGGAGAGTGGCAGGCCCTGGTTTCTACAAGGAACCAGCTGCTGTTCTCATGGATGAGACGGAGCTGGCTACCTAAGGGAGGAGAACCTGCCTGTGAACCCTCTTGGTCTTGTCCTCCCAGGCCCATGGTCCCGCAAGCAAACTGCATTTTGTTAGAATGCAAGCAAGGACTTGAGCACCAGTATACGCAAAACCATGTTCACTAAATGCTAAAGGGAACACAAACAGCAATCAAGCAAGAACCAGAGCCTCAAAAAGCCTTCGGCCCAGTCAAGAAAACGAGTCTCAAGGTACGCAAATAATTCCACGGATACATACAACGTCAACTTGAAAGTAAGGACAGAGCTTATTTGTCTCCAGTGCCTAGGACACAGCAGCCACTGAGAGCATGCCCACTGAGCCAGCGAAGTCGTGCAGGAGGGAAAGTCACATGTGCTCTAGAAGAGTAAGAGCATAGCTGTGCCCAGCTCGGGGAGACGAGAGATACGGCTTGATATAGGCCCCAAAGGGTGCAGAGGGGTCCCCAGGTGCCTCTCCACAGAGGCTGGGCCAAATGAATTTCCCACAAACTGATGGGACATCCGCTGCTTATGCCTGCCGAGCACCCTGCCCGTCTCTGAGCAACAGATCACGACCATCCTATGGGGAACGCCCACGGGGGGCGTGGGACATGGCCCTGGCCAATTAGAGTCCCAGTGATCCGACTGGCTCAGGGATGGGCAGGTGACCCAACTTGGGCCAAAAAGTGTGGCTTGGGACCTTGGGTGAAACCATGGAGGGGGCTCTCCTGTAAGGGGTTCAGCTGAGGCTGGGACATGGCCGACCATCCTAAGGACAGCTCCTTCCCAGGAAGGAGCCCAGCCCAGGGGACGGCAGAACTGAGAGACGGACTAACTCTGACTCAGGTGCGCTGCTTGACCCGACTCCACAGCTCCATGATCTAGACCCTTCTGTCTTGAGTTGGGTTTCTGTCTTGAAACCAAAAGATCCCTGGCTCAATAACCTAGTCCATTTTGACAGCTTTTGGCCAAACTGGTCACGTGTGTGGTCCTGGTCATCACAGGTGGGTTTCTATTTTCCACAGCCCCTCTTCCGACAGCTGACTGGTTTTCCCACATTGAAGACCCCAGAGAGCAAAACCAGACTCTGGCCACTCATAAAGTCACTCTTTATAAAAATTACTTATATTAGTATTACATTTATATATGATGACCCCTTTAGTTAGAATAGGAAAGTTTCTGGTACGATTATTTCTTCCCAGATAGTCTGGTGAAAAGATTGATGTAAACATCTGGCCAAGAAATTACTGACCCTATAATGTAGAATAGGTAGAGTCTTTCCTAAGATGTTCTAGAACTTGCTATTCCAAGTGTGGTCCTGGGACCAGCGTAAGTATCACCTGGGTGTTGTTGGAATTGCAAACATTCAAGCCCTACCCCAGACCAACTGTATCAAAATATCCGAGGGTGGGGCCCAGCAGCCTGCATGTTAGCAAATCCAAGTTTGAGAACACCATTTTAAGGAAGTAATTCTCATCCTCAGCTGCACAGGCTATTAATGCCAGCCCCAGAGATTCTGGGGCTTAGGACTTGGCTTTTGGGTTTTTTCAAAGCTCCCTTTGTGATTCTAACTTACAACCAGGATTGGGAAGCCAGCCCTCTCATTCTCCTGTGGCATCACGTTAGATTCTTACCCGCTCCCTCGAGGAGGAAGCGGGTAAACGAGCAGTGTTACCGCCAGCTGTCCCCATTCTCTGCACTCTGGAATTCAAGTGCTGCCTGCAGCTGACTGAAGCATCATTTGATGTTCCCGAGAATACAGATTCCACAATCAACTCCAACGCATTTTGGCCTTGACCCAATTTATCTCAACAGAGGAAGAGAGAGAAGCCCTTGTTCTCTGCATCCAAACAGCACTGGGGGCATATGAAGCCAGCAGCCCGGAAAGATGAAAATGGCCAGGACTGTGCACTTCTTTGTAAAGAAAAATATGCAAAATTGGAGTGCTTTTCAACTTCTGGAATCTAGTTTTTTTTGTTTTTTTTTAGTTTGGTTGCTTTTGTTTTTAATATGACGTAGTCTTCTCAGGCCTCAAAGTACACAGCAATGCTGTGTCAAAGAAAAACAAAAAGCACACACCAGCATTCTGAAAACTGGTTCAGAAAAACAAGTAGGAGTGAAGCTAAATAAGGCCTATGACTAACGGTGACGATTCGTACGTGGATAACCTCAGGGAGGTGAGTCTTTGCAAACACAGGGAGAACGGGAACAAACCTAGCCTGAGTAGTAACGCAACCTTGCCCAAGAAAATGCCCGCATTTGCTCACCAACTCAGATGGCCTGCAGCAACTTTTATGGCTTTCTGTTAGCAAATCTGGAACTGGACTGAGAAACTGGGGACAGAGAAGACCTAGAATTTTTTCTTTTTTTTTTTTTTTTTGAGACAGAGTCTCACTCTGTTGCCTGGGCTAGAGTGCCGTGGCGTCAGCCTAGCTCACAGCAACCTCAAACTCCTGGGCTCAAGCGATCATCCTACCTCAGCCTCCCAGGTAGCTGGGACTACAGGTGTGCACCACCACACCCAGCTAATTTTTTGTTTCTATTTTTAGTTGTCGGGCTAAATTTTTCTATTATTAGTAGAGACAGGGTCTCGGTCTTGCTCAGGCTGGTCTCAAACTCCTGAGCTCAAACGATCCTCCCGCCTCGGCCTCCCAGAGTGCTGGGATTATAGGCGTGAGCCACCGCGCCCGGCCTCAAATTGTTTCTTAACTCTTCAGTGTCTAGACAGCCAGTGTACCAGCCGCCCCACCTCCCAAGAAACTGGCAAGGAAGTAAAATGCGGACCTGTGGGGTTTCCAGGGTTGATGATGCAGAGCACCTTGGGGTCACAGTGGTCTTTGGCCTCCCGAACTGCCCGCCGGAGCTCGTTCACGTTCAGGGCCCAGCAGTTCTCCTCGTCCAGGTAGTAGTTCACCTGGATGGCGTCGAGCTCAGAGATGACCGCGGAGTAGAGGGGGTACTGGGGGACGGAGATCATCACGCCTGTCCGTGACTTGCCATCCCCGGAGACGAGGATCTTCAGAATCGTCTGCAACCGAGAAGTCACATCTAGACGGCCACCGCCACTGCCCGCCCGCTGGAGCTGAAGGGCAGACAGGCCAGGCTGCCCCGGCCCAGCCTTTCACCAGTGGCCCTGCCGCCTGCTTCCCGCGCGCCTGTGCACGCTGCCTCACTTCCCCAGTTTCCGTTTCCTCGTCTATGAAATGAGGGCTGCTGCAAGGAGTGAGCAAAATCAGATGTTTCAAGTTCTCAGCACAGTATATGACGTGTAGTTAAAGACTCAATACTTGCGTTTTTAATGCTTCTAAAACAGCAGTCCCCAAACTGGCCTGTCTCAGAATTATTAATATTCTGACCCCACCCCCGTAAGCCTGATTCGGTATGACGGGTGGGGCCCAGGAATCTGTCTTATCAGTAATATCAGTGCCCATGGTTGAAAAAAGACCCCTGAACAGCACTGCTGAAATGGGATAAAATGCCCACCTACTGCCAGCAGGTGGCGCTTTGACCCGTCTCCGCAGCTGAGCAGACAGCGTGTGTGGTTGTGTGTGTGGTTGTGTGTGTGTGTGTGTGTATGTGTGTGAAAGAGGAGAGAGGAGAGACGAGAGAAGAGAGAGGAGTCATGAAAAACCAGGCCACGGGAACTCTGCGGGATAGCAGGGGAGGAGGCAATAATTCACTGAATTAGGAAGCCAAAATCCTCCGCAGGGAGATCTGCACCTGGCACACAGGCATAGGTCCTTCCTCAGACTCAGCCCCTTGCTGCAAGAATGACACCGGACTGCAAGGGCGACTCCTCTCGCTGGCCCTGTGGACACCCTCCGCCCAGGACCTCTGCCCACACCGGGCCTCTCTGGGAACTGAGAGCGGAAGATGCCATGGCTGGGGATGGAGCCCCAGCACCGGAATCCCAACCGTCCCAAGAACTGACTCAGACCACTGAATGTCTCTGGGCCTCGGTTTCCTCCTGGGCTCCGGTAAGAATTTAATGCATTAGAAATGCTTTGGAAAAGGAATAGCTCACTCAACAAACATCGAAGGGCCTGGCGGTCAGGAAACAAAGAGAGCCCCATCCAAAAGGCAGGAATCAGATACCATATCGCTCCCTGAGGAGGGAGAGCACACAAGCTGACAGCACCCAGCACCAAGCCAGGCCCTGGGAGGAGTGCTAGAGGCCATGGAGGGCCACGGACCCCCACGCCCAGGAGTCCAGACTCCTCCGGCCAAGCAGCCACTGATACGGCCCTCCCCCCGCAGCCCGCCCTGCCTCTCCTCTCGCCTCCCGAACACTCCCTCAGTCTATGCCCCTCCCAGATGCAACATAAATCTAATTATGTCCCCCTCCTCCTTCAAACCCTTCAATGGCTCCCTACTGTTCCTAGAGCAATGACCTAAATCCTCACAGTGGCCACCAAGGCCCCGGAGGACTCAGCTGCCCACTGCCTCCCCAGCTCTGTTTCTGGTGACCGTGTCCAGGGCTGTGTGTGCCCATCGCCCTGGCTCTCCATGTCCCAACTCCCAGCCTCCTTCCAGCTCAAGGCCTCTGCCCACACTGACCTTGTGCTCGGAACACACTCCCTCTCCCGCCTCCCCGCTCACTCCAGAGTCTCTGCTCAGCCTTCCCCAGTCACCTTCCCCACCACTCCACGCCCACCCGCTGGGTCAGGGCTCCTGCTGCTGCCTCCTATAGCACCTGTCCTTCTCTTTACTGCAGAAGGGAACCTGAAAGCTTGTGATGTGACCTGCATTTACGTGGCGTTAACGCTGGTCTTCTCCAGCACTAGTGTGCAGGCAAAGGCCAAATGATGTGTTTGGTTCCACATTGTCTCCCCAGCACCTGGCACAGGGCCTGGCAGAGGAGGAACACAAGTTATGGGCCAAATGACGGAAAGGCCGGGGGCGCCCTCGAGTGCAGCTGGGGGGCATGTGCTGAGGGAAATCGAGGCTACAGCGGTATCCAGCTAAAAGGGGCAAGAACTGCAGGCCACCAAGCCAGGGAGATCAGAGGGTTGGCCAATCTTCCCCCACCCCAGCCTGGCTCCCTGTCAGCCGGTTCGAACGCGTGGCCCTAACGTGCAAGGCTGTCCTCCACGCGGGTGAGCGCTGGCTAACGATGAGCCACCCCCACACGTACAGTAATGCCATCGCTAGCCCCGGTTGTCAGGTAAATGTTGTCTGGGTCCGCAGGCACGCCACCATCTCGCCTGGTGATGTAGGCCGCCACATCTTCACGGATGCAGTTGACACCCTGGCTAGCACTGTAAGACCCTGTAAGACAGCAAGTGAGACAGAGGTCAGAGGCGGGAGGTCTGGCTGCACAGGGTCAGCATGACAGCCATGTAAGTAACTGTGGGGAAGTGTAGTAAAGGGAGATCAGGCGGGGCCCGACTCTACCGCTCTGGGATCTGGAATCGTGGCAAGCTGCTTAGCCACCTCTGGGCCTCACCCACCCATCCTCTCATCCACCCCTATCTGTTCATCCACCCCTCCACCCGCCCTCCTGCCCACCCACCCACCTGTTCATCCACCCCTCCACCCGCCCTCCTGCCCACCTGCTCACCCATCCATGTGGCTGTTCGTCCATCCCACACTTACTGACTTCCACTTCCCACATGCTCAACATTATTCTAAGCCCCGGCTTCTAATCAGTCAAGTGGTGTCCGTACTTGTTCCACCCACCCTCCTGGGATTTATACATGACCTGGGACAATATGGGCCATCAGAGCTGGGATTATTATGTTTTTATCACCGGTGCCTACACACGGTGCCACGGGGCTTGAGAAAATGGGTGAACACTTGTGCTCTAAAACAGCACAACCTGCCAGCCCAGCGCCAACCGCACAGCCCTAGGGCTGCCAGGCAGGTGCCGCACCCACCCAGCCCCCATGTCAACAATATCCTCGGGCTGCCATTTAGGGTTAAAAGTCAGGCCACCATTTACGTGGAGTTGAAAAACAGGTAAATTTAATGTATAGTGCTCGAAGTTAGAACAGCGATCCCTACTGTGGGGCTGGGAGGTTACACAGGTGTGCACATGTGTAAAAATCATTCCAGCTGCATTTTACTAATATTAGTAAAATACACCAATATGTTTGTCATACTCAATAAAGTTTTTCTCTTTTAATTTCAGGTCACCATTTATGTTTTTAAAATAAATTGGAAGGTTGGGTGTGATGGCTCAGACCTGTAATCCTAGCACTTTGGGAAGAAGAGGCAAGAGGATCACTTGAGGACAGGAGTTTGAGACCAGCCTGAGCAATGTGGTGAGACCCCATGTCTACAAACAATAAAACAATTAGCCAGGCATGGGCCTTTAGACCCAGCTACTCGGGAGGCTGAGGCAGGTGGATAGCTTGAGCCCAGGAGTTTGAGGCTGCAGTAAGCTATGATGATGCCACTGCATTCTACCCCAGAAACTGGGAAAGATCTTGTCTCAAAAAAAAAAAAAAAAAAATTGGAAATATGTACTTGTACATGTGCAAAATCTCTCTGGAGGAAGACACAAACTGGTGAGGTGAATTCTCTGGAGAAGTGTACCAGGAGACTAGAGGTCAGAGGTGGGAATTATTGTATACCCTTTTAGATCTTTTGAATTTTATACATTTAAAAAAAAACTAGCCTATTCCATTTATTGATACTGCAAAACCACCACCAGGAGGAAGGATAGGGCTCTGAAAAATAGCAGCTTCTTCTCTGGGGCCTCAGCATGTATCAGTTCAGGCCTGGCATCCAGGAGGAACATGGTTAAAAGCTCTGAACTGAAATGCCCTGGCTCTGCCTCAGCCTCTTTGTGAAGCATTAGACTCACCCCTTTTCCTCTGACTAGCTATGAGGGGGTTGACCAACACTCTGAGGTGTCAAGCAACAAACATTAACGTGTATCAATTCTGGGTGGTAGGTACAGGGACATTTGTTACATTTTCTTGGGTATTCTAATACATTTAAAGTATTTTGTAAATTAAAAAGGAGGGGAAGGTGCCAATGCTAGTGTTAGAGAACGCCTTCCCCGCTAGGTAATTTATTTGATATTTCTGAGTACAGAAACCTTCCAGGGTTCCCTGTTTCCCCTCACCTTCTTTCAAGGCCCTACTCTCCACGCCTGGGGCCTGGCTATCCCACAACAGCCAAGAGCTCCCCGTTTCCTGCCTTCGAGCGCAGCCGCTTCCTTGGATTCCCAGACCTTCGTCCATCGGCAAGTCCTCTGCGTCTGAGGCACAGACCTTCCACCTTTCTAAGGAGGCTCCTGGGTTTCCTTTCCTTTAGATCTTATGTCATGTTCCAAACTGCACTGATCCTTCAAGGCTCATTTCCAGTCTGTCTCCAGGGGGCCTGCCCTAAAAGAGTCTGCCCCACCCCCAGCCTCTCTCCTGGCCTGTAATTTCTCCAGTTATTTTATACAGAGGAAGCCCTCCTCCCAGTGTTGACTGTTAGTTCCCTTAGGGCAGGGACTGTTACCTATTTCTTCTGTGCGTCTCTCCTAGAGCACCTAGCCCACTGCTCGGCCACACCTCACTACGTCCCTGCTTAGGACCCACTGCCAACCTAGGTCCCAGGGCCTAGAACCGGCATCACTGCCACTGCGAAACTCCCAGCCTCACTGAACGCCGCCGCACCAGGACCCCTCACTCCATCACACTCAGTTCCCAAACCTCAAGGCCTCGCACATACTGTTCCCTCAGCCCGGCACGCAGCCGCGGGCCCCACTCGAGCTCCGTGTGAGCTCGTGTGCCACTTTCTCTGTGACCCTCTCTCTGCATTACAGTCCCTTGTTATAACCCTACAGCTCTAAGAACAACTGGAGATTACGTATTTATATGAATTCTGTTAAATGTTTCTCCCAAATCTGGTACTGAGCTTTATGAGCACAGAAACCCCACCTGCCTCATTTGCCAGTGCCCCTGAGTACCTAGAACAGTGCCTGGCACGCTGTGATGTGATCGGGGAGGGCTCGACGGGGGCAGACACCCCCACCTCCCCCAGGCGTGTGCGAGCTTTTACCTCCATCCTATTAAAGATCCAGGACACACCCTAAGAACCGAATTACTCGTCAAACAGAAAATAAATGAAGTCCTGGCAGGAATTTTAAAGCACATGATAAAAACATGTCCCAGGTGAACATCAAGACTTTGTGTACATATTTAATAACCCCCACTTGGGTAAGGGTGGCCCTGGCACAGTGACACGCTCCATTACCTTTACCTTCATGGGCAGGAAAGTGCTGCTCATGGCATAGTTGACAGAGCACAAGGGCCCCATGTCCCTGTCACGGGAAGGATCACGCTGCCCCTCTGCCTGCAATGGGCAGGGCCTGGCAGCAACCCCACGGGGCGGGGCTCCTCCACACCCAGGCAAGAAGGAGGCTTTAGCACGCACGTCAACCTTCCTTGCAGGCCCAGGAGGTGGGCACAGAGCACTTCCTCGCCGAAGGATGAGGAGAGAGGCCCGGAGTGCAACTACCTCACCTGTGTTCATGAGCTCCTGGGACAGAACTCAGCGTGGGTCAAAACCCACGAAGGCCGACTGGTCTCTTTCTGTAACACCCCAAGAGGGGACCTGCCCGGACACAGCCTCCCAACCCCACAACCCCAGCTGTGGCTGACCCAGAGTTGCACAGACCTGTTGGTGAGGCTTAGTACAGTGGACAAGGATCCCCAGACATTCACATCAGACGACCAGAAGGCAAATCCCACCCTATCCCCTGCCCCATCTCTCAGCTGGGGCTTCCAGGAGACTCAGGCCACGGTCTTTGAGAAGCACCTTTGTCCTCTGGGCCAGGCGGAGGGAACGGGAGGAAGAGGAGCTGGCGGCCAGGCCGCTGGGCTGCCTTCTGCCAGCCTGTGGTTTGAGCCTCGGCATGCAAGGCGCTGGCCCACACCCCATCCAGGCGGGGAGGCAGGAGGGCAAGGGGTGCCGGCCCCTTCCTGCGAGGGCCACCACTAGGACAGTGCCCAGGCTCAGAGAGAGAGGGCTGGGGGGGGGTGACCACAGCCAGGAAGGTAAACAGAGGGCTCTCAATAAAGGGACATAGCAAAAAAGGGGAGGAAAGACAAGGAGATGACAGAGAGACCAAGGGGAGCTGATTTCCTGCTGGACAAGCCACAGAAATCCTCTAAGCTCCACATTCCAGAACATCAGGACACCCGTCCCAAGAAAGCTCTGAGAACAACTAGACTCCTCAGGGCGAAGGAAGCCGATGCCCTGAGTAGGCGCCTGATGAAGGAAGGGCAAAAATAAACGGGAAAGGAGATGAGAGGAGGACAAAGGCTGGAGGCCCAGAGGCTCAAAGCCCAGCTCGGGAGGGGAGGCAAGGGAGGGGGAGACAACGTCACTTTCACATCCACAGGGCAGATTCCAGGCCCTCCTGCCATGAAGTCCTCTGGGGCCCCATGAAATGGGACGCGACGGGAACTGGCAGTCAGACGGAAGAAGGCACCAAGAGGGGGCCAGCGGGGTCTTGAGGCGCTGCCTTCCCCAGCAACTGGCCACAACCTCCTAGATGATGCAGGGATGCCTTTGGAGCTGGGGGCCACAGAGAGATAAGAATGCTGAACACAAATGGGCGCTGCGCTTCCACTCTGCCTCCCATCACGAGGCCAATCCCCAGGTTAAACCTTCTGCTCCGCGGAAGGCAGGCTCAGCCGTGCCACAAAGCTGCCCGCAGCCTGGGGCCCCTGTCTCCAGAGCCTGCGTTTGCACGGTCGGCTTGGCGGACAGGGGGCTGCGGGCGGATGAGAAGAGCAGTTCTATTTCTCACTGACTCTGCGCGTCTGCCACCCCACACACTCGCTCACAGCACAATCCAACCTTCCCGACGGCCCCGGCCCACCACGCGTTCATTGCATGCCCTTGGGGACCTGACAATTTGGAGCCTCACCCAGGCTGTTCCCGCCACAAGCCTGTAGGATCCGCCGGGCTCGTTTCTTAGCATCTTCCGGGAAGCTGGGGCTGTCCAGCAGGTTTGGGTAGGTGCAGAGCGCCATCACCTGGGGGGACAAGGTGCAGGCTGGGCTCCCAGCACCCCACTCCCAGAGCCCAGGACGGGCACAACAGACAGGGCAGGAGACAGTAGGAAGATGACAACTCCAAGGGACAGTGCTGCAGCCCACCTCTCCGCAAGGACTCGGTCTGTGGGAGCTCAGGGGTGGGTGGGAAGGACACTGGGCTCTCTGCAGGAGAAGGGGAGATGCTGGGAGTCAGGACGCACCACGGCCTGGGCCTGGGGCCAAGCACGGGATGCCGGAAGAGCAGCCGGGGAGCGGAGTGAGGCTCCACCCAGCCCCCGGCCCAGCCCTTCCACAAAGGACAGTGCACCCGAGGCACAAGAATAGGGTCTCCTGGGCGGGGGCCGGGGCTGAGTGGGCAGGCGAGACCTAGGCGACAGGAATAAGGCTGTGCAGACCCCTCCTTACTCATGCCTGCGCTCCCCTCCAGGCCCTTGGCCTCCCCCCGACGCCCTGGGCCCCCTTTCCTCCCCAGCTGAACACCGGGCTAGCTTTCTCATCTCTGTAACAGAGAAAATCACCCTAACCTCACACATTAAGAGGATTAAGCAAGGAAATGTGTGCAAAGTGCCAGCAAACCCCAGCTCACCGGGCAAGTCTAAGCTGGTGGCTCAGGAGCTGAGCCAGGTACGCTGGGGGGTCGGGGCGCCGGGCTCTGACACTAGCCAGGCGACTCCAGCTGCGCCAGCTCTGGAGCTCAGCTTCTCTTCCTTGCCTGCCCCACTCCAGGGACACTTGTGGGATTAGAGGGGATGTGAGGAGGCCGGAGGCAGCTGGCACCTGGAGGAGAAGCTGGGCCCGCCATGGCCAGCAGTGGGGCTGGATTCGGGATGCATCCGCCAGCCAGGAAAGGCTCAGGCATGTGTGGGGGATCTCTGCTGAGAGAGGCCACTTTTGGCCCTCCCCTCCAAAGCCCACACTGCCAGGACAATGGGGGCCTCTGACCTCCCCACGCCTCCACGTCCCTGGCAGAGCTGCTCCGTTTGGTCTCACGTATTTCCCGGTCCTGGCCCCGCCTGGGACTCTGGTGTCCCTGGGCAGCTGGCCTGCTCTGAGGGGCGGGGGCAGTGGCCGTGGGAGGGATGCATCGTGCACATTCCTCAGACCAGCGGCAGCCTCAGAGCCCCTCCCTCACGACCCTGCGTGAACTCCCTCAGGGGCTGTGGGCTGACGGCCCCCCAGTGCTTCTCAGCCCTCTGGCCCAGAGAGCCGGGCCGGGAAAAGGGAACAGGGGTGCCCAGTGCTCAAAGTCCCTGCCCGCCCCAGCCTGTGAACCTTAACCATATTTTGGTCTCCAACAGGCCTCAGTCCTTCTCCCAGAAAAGGCTTTCCCACGGCTGGTCTCCCAGTCCCCCACTTCCGTTCAGGCTGCCCTGAGGCTTCTCCTGCCCTGCTCGCCCCCCTCCGGCCCACCACTCCCCCAGTTCTGGCCCATGCGGCACCTGTGTGGTTGGTGCTAAAACTAAAACCCTGACACTCGCCTCCTCCTGGAGCCCTTGGAGGGAGCTGGGTCACTCTGGAGACCACCAGGGGAGCAGCACTCACAGTGGCTGCCACCCCCCTGTGCTCTTATGCTGGCCAGGGGTTCCGCCAGCCACAGCAGCGCTCTGGTGATCTCCACTGCTCCAAAGCCCCCCGCCGGAAAGTGGCAGAGTCAGCACTCAAACCCAGGGCGTCTCCCTGAGAAGCTGTACCGTGACCACCCCCAACACCACCTCCCAGCCTGGCGGGTCTCTGCCTCTGCCCTGGGCTGCTGTCCACCCTGCTGCTGCCCTTCTAGCCAAGCTCAGCTCTCAGGACACCAGAGCAGCCCTGAACGGGTGTAGGAATTTCGACAACCTTGGAAGGGGAGGAGGTCCAGGGAGAGAGCCAGAGGGCATCGGGCACTGCAGGGGGACCTCACCAGCACCTCCCTGTGGGATGCTGGGGCCTGCTGTGTCCTGAGGGGGTGGGACGGACGAGGAGGCAGAGGATGACCCTACAAGCCCATGCCAGCCCCTCCCAGCCTCTGCTCCTTGGGGCCAGCTCACCTGTCGAAGGAAGGTGATTGGCTGCTGGCCCATGGCCTGGGCGTCCCCGATGTTGGCTCGGATGACCTCAGTGAATGGTTTTTTGATACCCTGAGCAGAGAGAAGACAACAGGTGGTTACTTAGAGACTCTCAGACCCTGGATTCCTGAGGCCAAGCAGCGTTGCCACAGGATATTAATAAGTGGCCCCATTTTGAGCCTTACCAAGTGTCAGGCATGGTGCCAGGCCCTTGATGTGCCCAGTCCCATTTAACCTTCACAGCCACCCCATGAGGAAGAACTAGCATTAATCCCATTTTACAGATGAGGATTTTAAGGCTTCAAAAGGGTAAGAAACTTGCTCAAGGTTACATAATTGATAAAATATAAGTCCTGGGATCGGAACCCAGAAAGCCAGATGCCAAGATCACCCTTCTTAACGACCATGCTCCACTACCTCCCACTTTCCGGAAAGGCTGGAAGAGCCTTCCTGGGCTGCCAGAGCGTCCGGAGCAGCTGCAGGTCCAGGGCCCGACTGTCGCTGCGCAGCGCTGGGGCCAGCGTGGCGGGAGGGAGGCAGGAGTCAGCAGCAGAACATGCCAAGTGTCGGGGAGAGAAGCTCCCAGACTCCCCTGCACCCCACCCCAGGCGCGGCTCCACCTCGAGGCTTAAGTAAGTGACCAGGGACACCAAGGATGTCCTTGCCTCTCGAAGACACGGAGCAGCAGGGAAGGCAAAGGGTTATTCTCTTGCAACCCTCGCTTTGCAGAATGAAGAATGTGGGCTGATTTTCCCATTTTTAAAAAAAGCGTTGAGGATGAAAAGATTGATTGAAGAGCAAAATTGAGGCCATTGCCTGAGCAATGAGTTTAGCACCAAAAAGAGATCAGAGACAGAGGAGCTTGGAGACCCTTGCAACGTCACCGGGGAGGGGACTGAAGGTCACCCCCGCTGCTGCAAAGGCAAAAATGTGGCCTGGCAGAGAACTGTGGGCACCTGGAAACATGGGGATTCCACGCAGCTCCCTGGAAAATCTAGAATTAGCCACTGGAATCAACAGGTTCAAGGACTTCCCAGGCGAGGAAGGATTACCTGAGACAAACAGCATGAAAGCACTTGGCCGAGTGCAAACATCATCGTCTTACAGGGCTGGCCGGGGAACGCGGCCTGAGGGTTACGGTGGAGGACAAGGGCGGGCAGGGCAGTGGCCTGGGGCGGAGGCCCAGCTATCCTCCCTCCTCCACCGCCCCTTGTCCAGACCAAAGGCACCCAAATACAGACGTTAAAGATACAATTCTGTGATTTTGACACTTGTTTTTTCTCCTTTTCATGCAATGTGTGAATAAAAGCAACCTTAGACAACTTGGCCTTTTTAAAATCAGTTATATACACCTTAAGTCAAAACCAGGGGCGGATGAGGCAGGAGGATACCTTGAGCCCAGGAGTTCCAGACCAGCCTGGGCAACACAGAGAGATTGTCTTTAAAAAACAAAACAAAACAAAAAACCCAGTGGGCTTGAGACAAAAGTAGCTGCTAAACAAGTTTTTCTGACTCTAGTTTGCCACCCCTAAGCCTGAAGGAGGTGGGGTGTGCTGAGGAAGGCGTGCTAGAAATGGCCTCGGCCTTCATAAACAGGGCCTAAAAGCTGTGTATCCGGAGGAAAAGGGGCCGCTGAAATCCCTTGTGCCCCTGCCACTGAGTTCTTCAGGGCTGGCCAACGTGAGAAAGACCCCAGGAGCAGCCGCGGCACTGGGGGAGCCAAGGCGGGAGGCAGAGTGCCAGCCCCCTGGGGCAGGCTGCTGGGTAGGCCCTGCAGAGACCGGCGGGGCCTGGGGCTCAGGGCTCTCTCACACACGTGAGCCAAGAAGGCCGGGGGTGGGGCGCATGCAGCCGCAGGGCCGCTGTGTGCAAAGGGGCGGCAGACCCCCCCGCCCCCCCGCACTGGCCGGGCCTCCGGCATGGGACCCGCCTCCAGCCTAACTGAATCACCACAGCTCCAGGCCTAGCCAGCGGAGCCCAGGTGAGCTCCGTGGTGTGGGCACAGCCCGTTCCCCAGTAGGGAGTCAATCTGTCACAGCTGTGGGCCCTGGGCCAGCCCAACACAGCCGGGGAAGAAAGCCTGGAACAGAGCCCTAGACGGCCCCTTCCCGTGCCCCCTCCCCCACCGCTCGAACAAGTCACGGCCTGTCGATGCGGAGCCTGGGAACGCCGGGCACCTCCATTCTTGGGTCGTGGCTCCCGCAGACTCTGGGCACTTTGCAGTGATTGGTGAGCCAGGGTGTAGGAATTGGCTGCCTTCAAAGCGGAAAGGAACCGGCCTGCCCAGCCAACAGCCACCGTACAGAGGGGACTGTTCTGAGCAGACTGCTGCTGGGCACTCAGAGTCTACATGGGTCATACACAAATGAGCTAGGAAAACAAAATGTGCGTGTGTGTGAAGGTCCACACGGGCTGGGAAACACCGAGGAGCCGGGGCAGACTCCCACAGTGACTGCACGCAGTGACTTGCCCAGGCCTCACAGGCACACCCAATGGTGACCAGCCCCGGCCCAGCCCCCAGGGCCCTGCCAGGTCAGAGGGAGTAACAAGCACGTAGCATCCTGGCTTCCTCTCACGGCATTCCAGAGCCCCTGTCTCATCCACCTGCACGCATCCCACCTAGAGCTCCCTCTCTGAGTGGCACTGAGGGAACATCCTGCCCGGGGCGGGCTCCCTTCCCACCACTGTGGCTCAGGTAGGAATCAGGGGATTAGGCCTCCAGGGCCTGGGGATGGCATGCTGCAGAGGGTGTTAGCAGGGAGAAGGAAAAGAGATCTATGATTGTCCTTCCCAGCCCAGACTCAGCGTCACCGTGAGGGTCAAGGGGCTGATGGGTGATCTTAACAGGCATAAGGCACAGCAAAGGAAATCATCAACAAAATGAAAAGGCAACCTACAGAACGGGAACACAGGCGGCCCTCCCTACCCACGGGTTCAGCACTCATGGATTTAAACGACCGTAGATCAAAAATATTTGGAAAAAAAAATTGGGTCTGTACTAAACATGTACAGAATTTTTTCTTGCCATTACTCCCTAAACGATACAGTACAACAATTTCCACAGCATTTACATTGTCTTATATCAGGTATTATAAGTAATCTAGCGATGATTTTAAGTGCACAGGAGGATGTGCGTAGGTTATACACAAATACTACACCACTTTATGCAAGAGACTTGAGCTTCCTTGGATTTGAGAGAGGTCCTGGAATCAATCCACTCACAAATACGAAGGAACGACTATATTTGTAAACCACATATCTGATAACGGATTCCTTATATCCAAATATCCATTATATCCAAATAACAAACTCATACAACTTAATATAAGCAAAAAAACAAATAGCCTGATTAAAAAATGAGCAAAGGACCTGAACAGACTCTCCAATGAAGACATATAAATGGCCAGCAGATATATGAAAAAGATGCTCAACATCGCTAATGAAATGCAAATCAAAAACCACAATGAGGTATCACTTCACACCTGTTAGAAGGGATATTATCAAAGAGTTAAAGCATAAGTATCGGCAAGGGTGTGGGGAAACGGGAACCCTTGCATGCTGTTGGAGAAATGTAAACTGGTACAGCCATTATGGAAAACAGTATGGAGGTTCCTCAAAAACTTAAAAATAGAACTGCCAAACCATGCGGCGATCCCACTTCTGGGTACACATCCAAAGGAAACGAAATCAGTATCTTGAAGGGACATCTGCACTCCCTTACTCATCGCAGCAGTAGTCACAGCAGCCAAGACATGAAATCAACCTGAGTGTCTGCTGACAGATGAATGGATACTGAAAATGTCGGGGGGTGTATACACGTGTGCGTGTATATGTGTGTATACACACACACACACACACACACACACAATATGGTAACTATATGTAGTGGAGGATGTTATTAATTTGACCACAGTAATCATTTCTACAGCCATATTATGTACACAATGTATACATATAGCAAACCATCACATTGTATACCTTGAATACATACTTTTTTTTTGGAGACAAGTCTTGCTCTGTCACCTGGGCTAGAGTGCAGTGGCGTCATCATAGCTCACAGCAACCTCAAACTCCTGGGCTCAAGCGATCCTCCTGCCTCAGCCTCCTGAGTAGCTGGGA